TGTCAAGTGCAAGTGCCCTATAGCAAAAACCTCTTTAGAAAGAAAAAGAATTATTTAATTTTATTTATTATTATTATTATTATTAAATTTCAGCAGAGAAAGAGGTGGGGGTAGAGTGAGAAAGCAAGTTGCCAGGTCCAGGACTTGAACCATGGTCAACCATGTGGGAGTCCAGTGCCTTAACAATCACACCACCTGCTGGCCCAATAACCTGTGTTTTAATCTTTACTCATTCTTCAGTTCTTTTATGTTAGCATTTATTCCCCTTCCTTCTGCTTATCCTCTTCCCTCATTCCCTGTTAGGCTCAGATACAGCATCCTCATTTTCTTTTATTTTTTTAAAGAAATTTTTGCTATAAGGCACGTGTGCTCACCAGAGAGTCAGAGAGACAGAGAGACAGAAAATGAGAAATCACCCCCCAAGGAGGATGACCACACTACAATCCCTTCTCCTTCATTCTCCTCTTGGGATTTGGGGCACACATGCACAGGCACCTGGCATGAGTTTCAAGCTGCCAGGTCCAGGATTTGAAATGTGGTCGACTATGTGGGAGTCCCATGACATAACCATTATGCCATCTACTGGTCCCACATTTTCTATCTTTATAATGTGTTCTATATTAGTCATTCTCCCTGTTATTCCTGCTACTTCTTCATCTGCTATTGCCATAAGCCCTTTCTGGGAACTTCCCAATATACATATTTTAATAGGCATCAACTTTATTTTTTATTTATTTTTAGAGAGATTTTTGCTATAGGGCATGTGTACTCACTGAAGAGACAGAGATAGAGAGAGAAAAAGCAAGAAACAACCCCCCAGGGAGGATGACCATGCTATAATCCTTTCTCCTCTATCCCCTCTTGGGATTTCAGGCACACACTCATGCACATGCACCTGGTGTGAGTTTTAAGCTGCCAGGTCTAGGACTCAAACCACAGTCAACTATGTGGGAGCCCAGAGACATAGCCATTACACCATCTGCTGGTCCTTAACTTTTGTTTTCTTTATCCTCTTGCTACCTCAGCAGGTTTTTTTTTTTTCAATGAAAATAACACAAATATCTGTGCTTTTCATTTATTTTAGATTCTCAATCTATGCCTGAAACTAAAGAGTTCCTTTCAAAGCAGGAAGATTATGAAGAAGTGTCATCTGAAAGGGTGCTGATAATACAAAGCCTTGAAAAGAATAATTCCTGGGGCTCCAGGGTGATAGAAGCCTGGGAATGTGAGGACACATTAAAAAAACAGCAAGGAAATCAGAAGAAAACTTTAAGACAGGCCACAATTAAACACAAGAGAAACTCTATGGAGCGTTATAATGAAATGGGGGAAGGTTCAAATCCAGTGAAACATCAGAAAGTCTACCCAATAAAAAAGCCTTGGGAATGCAATGCATGTGAGAAGTCCTTCAGTTACTACTCAGCCTTTATCCTACATAGGCGAATTCACACTGGGGAGAAACCCTATGTATGTAATGTATGTGGAAAGGCTTTTAGTCGGAGCTCATCACTTATTCAACATCAGAGAATTCATACTGGAGAGAAGCCTTATGAGTGTAATGAGTGTGGGAAAGCTTTCAGTCATCGTTCAGCCCTTATTCAACATCATATCATTCATACTGGAGAAAAGCCCTACGAATGCAATGAATGTGGGAAGGCCTTCAACCAAAGCACATACCTCATTCAACATCACAGAATACACACTGGAGAGAAGCCCTATAAATGCAAGGAATGTGGGAAAGCTTTCAACGACACCTCATCCCTCATTAAACACCAGAGGGTTCATACTGGAGAAAAGCCCTATGGGTGTACCGAGTGTGGGAAAGCATTTAGTGACAGGTCAGGCCTTACTCAACATCAGAGAACTCACACAGGGGAAAAACCGTATGAATGTAGTGAATGTGGGAAAGCTTTCAGTTACTGTTCAGCTCTTATTCAACATCAAGGAACCCATACTGGAGAGAAACCTTACAAATGTAATGAATGTGGGAAAGCCTTCAGTGACCGCTCAGCTCTTGTAAGACATCAGAGAATTCACACTGGAGAAAGGCCTTACAAATGTAAAGAATGTGACAAAGCCTTCAGCCAGAGCTCATCCCTTACAAAGCATCTAAGAACTCATACTGGAGAAAAACCATATAAATGCAATGCTTGTGACAAAGCCTTTAGCCAGAGTTCATCTCTTATTCAACACCAGAAAATTCATACAGGAGAAAAAACCTACAAATGTAAGAAATGTGAGAAAACCTTCAGTTTCCATTCAGCTTTTCACCAACACAAAGAAATTCATGATGAATAGGATGCAGTAAATCCAGGAAATGATTAGTTATTCTCCCCTGACTGTATAGATCTGTTCTAAATATTACAGGGTGCAAAAACATATGATGTAGGCCAGCAGATGGTGTGGTGGTTAAGGGACTGTATTCCCAAAGGACCAACCATGGTTTGAGTCCTGAACCCGACAGCTTGAAAATCACACCAGGTGTGTGTGTGTGTGTGTGTGTGTGTGCCCAAAATCTTGAGAGGAGAAGGGATTGTGGGGCCATCCCCCTGGGGGATGATTTCTCACTGTCTTTCTCTCTGTCTGTCTCTCTCTGGCAAGTGCATGACCCTATGTTGAAAATTAAAACAAAACTTATTTTGTGTTACATAAAATATAGCCCTTTTCTTTGAAATATTATAATCCACGGAAGAGGACAAGAGGTAAATGTGAGTATATGCTGTCTTTAAGATAACTGTTAGAAAGTAGTTTCCTGAGACTAAAGTGAATTTAATTGCCTAGAAATGTTGATTTTGGTGAGGACAGGGGATAGAAGTTGTGAAAGGTTGAAAACACTTTTCATTAAAATTGTGGTGGGAGGGACCAGCAGGTGGCGTGGTGGTTAAGGTGCTGGACACTCCCACATGGCTGACAATGGTTCAAGTCCTGGATCTGGCAGCTTGCTTTCACACTTTCTCTCTCTCTCTCTCTCTCTCTCTGGTCAAATTAAAATAAATGAATACATAAATAAAATTAAATATTAAAAAAAAATTGTGGTGAGAGAGCCTGGCCCTGTAGCTTGATCCCACATGGCCAACTGTGGTTCAAGTTGCAGCCCCAGAGCAGCTTGAAAAGTACATTGGACACATATGTATGCGTGCCCAGAATCCTAAAAGGATGAAGAAATGATGGAGAGTATGTGGTCTGGCCATGCGCCCACAGGGGTGTGCTTTCTCCCTCTCTCTGTCTGTCTCTCACTGGTCATGCTGCAATCCCTTCTCCATTTCTCTATCCTGTCAGGATTTGGGGCATGCACACACTTGTACCCAGTGTGTTATATTTTCAAGCTGCTGGAACATGATTCAAATTGTGATCTGCCTTGGGGGATCCAGCTCCTTTAACCACTAGCCTACAGGGCCAGCCCTGTCTTCTTTTTTTTTTTTTTTAATTTATACATTTTTTTCCATGGGAGAGAAAGAGACAGAGAAGCACCCACAACAGGGTCCTCACACCATGATCTACTCCTAGTCTCTGCTGGGATCACAGACACACACATGCATACCCAGCATGCCTAGGAAGGTCACAGGACACAAACCCTATACATTTTGCATGTGAGTCTAGCTGCACCCCCACCTAATCACAAAAGGAGAATTCTCTTTTTTTTTTTTTTTTGAGAGATTTTTGCTATCAGACACATATGCTCATCAGAGAGACAGAGAGACAGAAAGCAAAAATCACCCCCAAGAAGGAGTGGCCACACTGCAATTCCTTCTCCTCTCTGGATTTTGGGCATGTATGCACATATACCTAGCATGAGTTTGAAGCCACTCGGTCCAGAACCCAAACTATTCGGCCACATGAGAGTCCACCACCTTAACTATTACACCACCTGATGGCCCAAGGAGAATTACCTTAATTGAAAAAGTTCTGGGACCAGCAGTTAGCGTAATGGCTATGTCGCTGGATTCCCATGTAGTTGACCCCGGTTCGCGTCCCGGATCCGGTGGCTTAAAACTCATGCCGGGCGCGTGTGCGTGCATGCCCAAGATCCCGAGAGGAGAATGGAGGAGAAGTGATTGCAGCGTGGCCATCCCTGCTAGGGGGTGATTTCTCGCTTTCTGTCTCTCTGTCTGTCTGGTGAGTGCATGTGCCCTATAGCAAAAACCTCTCCAAAAAAATTAAAAATTTAAAAAACAAAAGTTCTAGTTAGGTAGAGATCCCAAGATAAATGTTGAGAATAACCTTGGAATTCTGACACAAACCCATGTTGTCTGTCTTAGATCATTTGTCACATTTGTCTCCTCTTCCTCAAAAATTTAGGTTGGTTTCCTTTATATAACCATCTGCTAGGGGAGGCTTCCTTATGCCAATTGGATTTAGAATAGAATGATATCATCCTAACTTCCTTAATTTCTTTATTGACTGTACCCCAAAATAATCATGCAGGCCCTTTTTAAATTTTATGGCTAATTAAAATGGGAAAAACGAGAGGTGTGTTTAATAGCACCATGAGAAAAATTCGAAAGATGTGGATTCTTTTCCTCAGTGGTGTGTAGTAATGTCTCAAAATTATGAATATCCTGGAGTGTTTATGATGAATTCCAGTAAATTCAGATTGAATTTATAACTTAGACTGACAGGATTCTCAGCTTCCGAAAAATGGACAAAAAAGGGAAGCAAATTTAATTGTCTGCTATATGTTATGCATTGCTTCAGGCATTCCAGCAATGTTAGCTGTCTTTCCATCCTCATTTAATGCTTAACATTCTGAGAAGAGGGTCAGCAGGTTATGGTGGAGGAGGTTACAGTGGCTGGATCCCACATGGCTGACTGAGCCAGATCTGGTACCTTGAAAAACATGCAGTTACACATGCCCACCAGAGAGACAGAGAAAGACAAAAAGTGAGAAATGTTAGTTATGGAAGGAGAGATTCAGAAGTTGTTTTAAAATTTTTAAAATTAATTTTTAAAAAGTTTTTGTTACAAGGCGTATGTGCTTGGTGGAGAGAAAAAGGGGAAAGTGAGAAATCACCTCCCAATCAGGATGGCCACATTGCAATTCCTTCTTCATTCTCTTGGGATGTGGGGCAGGTACTTGCATACCCAGTGTGTTTCTCTTTTTTTTTTTTTTTTTTTGAGAGATTTTTGCTATCAGACACATATGCTCATCAGAGAGACAGAGAGACAGAAAGCAAAAATCACCCCCAAGAAGGAGTGGCCACACTGCAATTCCTTCTCCTCTCTGGATTTTGGGCATGTATGCACATATACCTAGCATGAGTTTGAAGCCACTCGGTCCAGAACCCAAACTATTCGGCCACATGAGAGTCCACCACCTTAACTATTACACCACCTGATGGCCCAAGGAGAATTACCTTAATTGAAAAAGTTCTGGGACCAGCAGTTAGCGTAATGGCTATGTCGCTGGATTCCCATGTAGTTGACCCCGGTTCGCGTCCCGGATCCGGTGGCTTAAAACTCATGCCGGGCGCGTGTGCGTGCATGCCCAAGATCCCGAGAGGAGAATGGAGGAGAAGTGATTGCAGCGTGGCCATCCCTGCTAGGGGGTGATTTCTCGCTTTCTGTCTCTCTGTCTGTCTGGTGAGTGCATGTGCCCTATAGCAAAAACCTCTCCAAAAAAATTAAAAATTTAAAAAACAAAAGTTCTAGTTAGGTAGAGATCCCAAGATAAATGTTGAGAATAACCTTGGAATTCTGACACAAACCCATGTTGTCTGTCTTAGATCATTTGTCACATTTGTCTCCTCTTCCTCAAAAATTTAGGTTGGTTTCCTTTATATAACCATCTGCTAGGGGAGGCTTCCTTATGCCAATTGGATTTAGAATAGAATGATATCATCCTAACTTCCTTAATTTCTTTATTGACTGTACCCCAAAATAATCATGCAGGCCCTTTTTAAATTTTATGGCTAATTAAAATGGGAAAAACGAGAGGTGTGTTTAATAGCACCATGAGAAAAATTCGAAAGATGTGGATTCTTTTCCTCAGTGGTGTGTAGTAATGTCTCAAAATTATGAATATCCTGGAGTGTTTATGATGAATTCCAGTAAATTCAGATTGAATTTATAACTTAGACTGACAGGATTCTCAGCTTCCGAAAAATGGACAAAAAAGGGAAGCAAATTTAATTGTCTGCTATATGTTATGCATTGCTTCAGGCATTCCAGCAATGTTAGCTGTCTTTCCATCCTCATTTAATGCTTAACATTCTGAGAAGAGGGTCAGCAGGTTATGGTGGAGGAGGTTACAGTGGCTGGATCCCACATGGCTGACTGAGCCAGATCTGGTACCTTGAAAAACATGCAGTTACACATGCCCACCAGAGAGACAGAGAAAGACAAAAAGTGAGAAATCACGCTCCCCAGTGGGGATGGCCATGCCAAAATCTCTTCTCCTCCACTCTCCTCTCAGGATTTTGAGCATGCACACCCATGCACCTGATACGACTTTCAAGTTCCCCGATCCAGGACTCGAACTGTGGTCAGCCATGTGGGAGTGTGATACTTTAATCACCACTCCACCTGGTGGCCCCAAGATTCTTATTTTCAAAAACATGAAGCCAAGGCTTACAAAAGCCACATCATTTGCCTAATGTTGGAGAGGTTTTTGTTGTTGTTGTTGGGTTTTTTTGGCTATAAGGCGTGTGCGCTCGCCAGACAGACAGAGAGACAGAGACAGAAAGCGAGAAATCACCCCCCAGGGGGAATGGCCACGCTGCAATCCCTTCTCCTCCATTCTCCTCTCGGGATCTTGGGCACTCACGCACACGTGCCCAGTGTGAGTTTAAGCCACCGGATCCGGGACTCGAACTGCGGTCGACTATGTGGGAGTCCAGCAACATAGCCATTACACTAACTGCTGGTCCCCATTTGCCTAATGTTGATAGAATGAGAATATGCACCCAAGTCTGACTCTTCACATTCCCTTTGAAACTTGGATTTTTTCTGACTTCTGTGAATATGGAGCACTGAACTGCCCCCACCCCAGCCTCATCTCTGTATGTGCCCATTCCCCTAGCACTAGTAAATCCAGGTCCCTCTACTCTTCTTGGCAATCTTAGTTCTGCTGCCTGGTGGTCTAACTTCCTCTCCTGGCCCAGTTCTCTGTCTTGGGTTCACCCATTATTTCTGAATTAAATGCTCTAATAAAACTTCACATGCTTTTTCATCATTCACTAAGAACTCCTTGGCTCAGTCTTTCTATATACAGAGTGCTGTACCTACTACAGGTGTGAGTCCTGGCAGAGCTCATGGCTTAAGACACTGAATTTTTTCTAATACTAGAGCCCATGTCTACAAGCTTTCACATCCTTTTTTTATGTGCTTGGTCAGAACTCTTTGAGAAGATGTTC